CCGTCTATAACTTATAAAGCACTGCATGGGATTTAGAAGAAATTCTTACACACAACCTTTGTAGTTTTAACGGTCCAGTGGCGGCGGAGAAAAAATCCCAAAACAAAAAAAAAATAGCTTACACGTTTTTTGACGTTTCGGAGGCTCCTGATCATTTTCAGGCAAAATTTTGAAGGGGTTGTAGATTGGGAGTTGGAGGTTGTGAGGGATAAGAGGCCGCTTATCCTTGGCTCTTATATTTTTTTTATACCGCGGCAGCCGCGCAGGCTGAAGCCTAAATGCCGGGACACCGCGGCTGCCATGATGATCCAAAGAAACTTTGTTAATCCGATTCTAGAACCGCCTAAGGTTAGTAGAACTGGGAAAAGCTTCCTCTTGTAGATTGTTCCAGAATCTCCACACCCTTCGGACAAAGGAGCAGTTGTATCAGCCACTTCTGGATGTACGAAGTTCGACACGGACAGGATCGGAGGCCAAAGTCAGGCGGGTCTGTCTGACAGGCACATCGCGCCGCGGCATCATGGAAGAGAGCTCCGAGGAGCAAAGCCCGTTGATGCAGCGCTAGAAGAGAGCTAGATCGGCGACGGCCCGCCGGTGTGAAAGGGTTCCGAGACTGTTTGTGAGAGACGAGTCATCGATCAGTCGGACAGCCCTCCTCTGGACAGCATCTAGCATAAATAATGTAGTCGGGGTGGCAGCACACCAAACGTGTGAGCAATTCTCGAGGATAGGCCTTGTCTGGGCCTTGTATAGAGTGAGAAGGTCATGCGGAGAAAACTACTTCTTAGCCCTAAACAAATAGACGAGATGTGTTCGTGCCAGATCAGGTTTGGCAGAACTCGGCCATCCATCGAAGCCGGATGAGCGCTAGGACGCTTTTTGTTCATCAAGATATATTACTGTGTTTTGGAAGCATTAAACTGTACAAGATTGTTGCGTCCCCAGGCAGTGTTAACCTCCAGGTCGCTCGTCAGAGAGGAAGTCGTCGCTAGTCTTCTTTTTTCCAGCTCAGCGGCAGAGATCGGTTTGTTACTCTGAATTCCTGCATGTAGAGTGCTGTCTTCAGCGAAGCTGTGGAGTGGGTTGATCGTACAAGAAAGGAAGTGCTTGATATGTAAGAGGAACAGTGTCGGAGCCAAGACCGATCCCTGGGGAGAACCCGCGTTGACGTTGTGGGATGGAGAGAAGAACCCATCAATTACGACGGATATCTTGCGGCCAGAGATAAAGTCAGTCACCCATCTGCAAAACTTTTCTGGGAGGCCATAGGATGGAAGTTTGCTCAAGAGGGCAGCGTGCCGCAGCTAATCGAACGCTTCCGTGATGTCAAGAACAACAACATGAGCCTCACCATAAAACTGGATGAGTTTACTCCACAATTGCGTGACGTACGCTAGGAAGTCCTCTGTGGATCGCTGGTGCCGGAAACCATACTGTCTGTAACTAATCAGCCGGTGATGTTCCAGGTAGACCAGAAACTCGCGTTTTATGCACCTCTCCGTCAGCTTACTTATAAGAGAAAGCAGATCTATAGGCCTGCAGTTGTAAGGGTCGGTCTTAGATCCTTATTTTGGGATGGGTTGGACATTAGCAAATTTCCAGTTTTCTGGGAAGGTGCAGGATTCCTAAGATACCTGGAATAGACGCGAAAGAACTGGGGCAAGCTCCGCTGCATACCTCTTCAGTACAATGGCAGAAATCAAGTCCGGACCAGAAGCCTTGTTGATCGCGAGCGACAAGAGCACTCATCTTACGGTCTTACGCCTGAATGTTACCTCCCGCATAGTGTAGGGAACCTTTTGAATCGGCGGCACTTGGGCGTGGGAGGACGTTGGTGGAGTTGGCAGCAAAGATCTTGGCAAGCACTTTCGCCTTAGCTTTTGACTCGGATACAATCGTTCCATCCTGACACGTAAGTGGTGGAAGGCTACTGTGTGAGAAGCTCTTGTCAATCTGCTTGTCCCGCCTGTGTCTAACTTTTATATCGGGCTGGTTTTTGGCATTGCGAACCGCTTCGTTACATTTGTTTCTGGACTTGACGTCGTCTTGTCTGTTCTCTACAGTGGGGTTTTCTAAATTTATGTGTGCATTGATCTTCTGCTGGCGAGCAGTGTCACATAATTTGTTAAACCAGCCGTTGGCCCTGGTTTAGGCATTTTCACTGTATGACACAGCCGACGCATCCGCGTTAGTGAAACAGACATCTATCTCTCCAAGGAAAGGTAGAGAAGTAGTATCTGAGCCAGTCCCATTCGACATGTCTGTAATGCCAAATTTCGCGGCGTGTACGAGTTTTTGCTGCCACAGCGGATTCTGACCGAAACCTAACCTCCACAACACCATGGTCTGAGTTACCCAGGTGGGACAGGACAGCAGTGATGTAAGGGACAGGATGCATGGTCAGAAAGTGATCCAGCAGGCTACTGGGATGTGGCGAGACGCGGGAGAAAAAAGTAGTTCTTGTCACCAGCTGGGTCAACCCTTGAGTAAAAGCGAACGCTGCAGCTGCACGACCTGCTGTATCGGTATTGTTTGAACCCAACCAAAGCTCATTATGGAAGGAAGTCGATCTTGATGGCCAGGTATTCAAGTAGATCATCCCAGTTATGATCCGAGGGAGACCGATAAAGACTGCTGCGGACAAAAGCCACAACTCCCCCGTTCTTTCTCAGATTGGTGTGCACCTCGTAATTTGGGAAGCTAAGATGATTGATCGGCGCAGACTCTGAGATTTTTGTCTCCGCCAAAGAAAGCATGTCGGGACGAGGATTGCAAGTAGTAATGAATAGCATCAATGTTGCTGTTAATCCCGCAGATGTTTTTGAAACAAATTTTATCTTCGGTGTTGTTCCCTCGAGTCCACCCTCCACCCGGACATTCCGAGAATGGAGTGAGTTTACGTCTCGGAAGGTACTACTAGGATTTCGATAAAATTTTGAAATAAGATCATTACTAGCAGAGTGGCGTTACCAGCTAGGGTCAACAATCGAAAAAACTGAAAACCTCCCAAACTTCGTTTTTTGACCACATAGGGCCCTTGCTTACATATGGAAATTTTTAGGATTGGTAAAACTTGGGGAGGCAGGCTGCAGCGGGTGGATGAGGGTTAGTATATTTTGGCATTAATACATTCACTCGCTTCAAACCCCGGTAATTCTACGCACTTTTTAGTCATATTTCACACATTGATTCAATAATAAAACCGTCTTTATTTAGGATGAAGTTTAGCTTAAAACAATTCTGCCACTTAACCCTTAACAAAAATAATCATTAAAAAATATAAATACAATGAAATGTGAAATTATTCTACAACATTAGATAGTAATATTATTTATATAAATGCTTTCATGATATTAAAATTATGTTTCAAGAGGACCTGTACAGAACATATTCATATGTAACTTAGAGAACTGAGGTGATCAAATATTCTTCAAAGCTGTTCAAATATAATTTTTTTGCTTGCTTACTTGCTTTTTGAAATCGTTGAAGTTCAGAAGTTTTGTATTCGGTGGTTATGCATTGTATAGCATAATAGCAGTAAAGCACTTATGAAAGAATGATGACTTGTGAAGAGGCATAGTTAGCGTATTTACAAAAAGTACATTTCTTGATTCATTTCCCCGCAAACTTGCTCTTATGATTTAAAATAAAATGACGAAATATTTTGTATACCCGCAATGAGGGCAACGTCCATAAAAGAAACCTTTCGCAAGCTAGCTGCTGCCGAGGGCGAGGTTTGCTGACATAAGGCTTACCCGAGTTGAGATAGTGCAGAGCAGACATTTTTGGGTCGCAACGTTGTGAAATGGGTGGAAACTGAGGGCTAATTATTGTATGGGTCTATTTGCTTGACCTAATACATTAAATTCCTTTGTTAGACATTTCTATAGACGACTTTTTTCTACGAGGGGCTAACTTGTGCCCAACAGCATCTTTTATGAACTGATGTTACCGTTGCGTGGCAAGTGCAGAGTCCACCTACTTGACGCCACTTTTTTAGTAGTATTATTCTCAAAATGAACTTGAAAATAGCTGATATATTCAAAAATAACTGTCAAATAGATATATTTTATTTCACAATACAGGTTGAGATGCAGTTCAAATTGTATTTTCGGGATGCTCGTGCTTACACTTTATTGTACTTATCGCTCCATGGACCTTACAGAACATAAAACCGGTCCTTTCATGATTCAAACGGAACACCAATAAAAAAGGGAATAGAACTATCTATCGTCCATTTGTACAGACAAAATATCAAAGCATCTAGCCATATACGATCGACGAATCTCTTTTGTTCGGGGATTGGTAATGCTACCGTAAAAAGGTGGAAGGATAGGCGGCCGCTCGACAGAGTTCCATTCCACTAGAATGCTTCAGCGAAGAGAGGATGTAGCTACTGCGATTTGAATACCGATCGAAGCTGATGAATAAGCGATCACACGAACAATCTATTGCAGTTGATTAAAAAGGTAATACTAAATACTCGTATAACGTAATTAAAAACTTTCTTTGGGCTTTGGACACCATTCAGCCGAAAATGGAAAGTACAATAAATTGATGCGTGATCTAGTATAGTTCGGTTTTATAATTTTTTACGTTAGGAAGAAAAACAACATGCCATGAAATTGAAGGCCGATTGTATGTCTGAAAACGTTTACACCGTGAGCACTAGCACAATACATAACGGCAAGAACGCCTACCTAGAACAATTCGGAGGATAACACGAATGACATTTGCCGCTATATGTTTGCAGTGATAGAAAAAACATGTCGCAGAAAGAACGCCTACTCAGAACAATTCGACGGATAATACGAATGACATTTGCCGCCATGTTTCGGCGGTGAAGCGTCAAAGGTCACTACTGACAATGCCACTATTTTTGTTTATTTCCAAATTATATAATTTGTTCTTCTTAAAAGCAGCTTTACGATTAAGAAAAAATCAAAAAATATAAAACTGAGTCCTTGACACTGTGGTCAATGAAAATAAAACTATTGCCATTTACTTCAGATATAATACGAGTATATTACAATAAAATAAATTTACAAAAAGGATAAATATGATTCAGAGAAGTTCAAGTATCATGCTTCTCAGATATGTTAGCCCAGAATGGACTTCTCTCTAATACTCGTATAGATAACAATTATCTCCATATATGTGTATGTAAGTTTGATTGCCACATTCCTGAAAATAAACATAATACAGAGTTTCTGTGATTTCGTTTGGAAAAAGCATTGCTCTAAGAAAGTACAGATAAGCTTTACTGTAAGATACCATTAGTCGCCTTCACTTTTTACAGAATCTCAGATAAGCTCACCTCATTTCAGTTCACGCAGTTTATTGAATGTTAATTTTACTAAATCTCAGTTCAAATATACTAAGTGACATATAAATTCGAACACCCAGTTTAAATGGTTTTATTTTAATAAAATTTTGTATAAGTACTTAATGAAGCATAATAAGTAAATGATAAAAATTTCAAAATGATTGCACTGCTTTAAAGCCCTTTGACCTTTAATAATGTGTGGATGCACCGTGATGTGCTACGCATTCTCCAACGCGCCTAGGCATGCTTCTGATCAGGTGGTCAATGTCCTCCTGTGGTATCTCATTCCAGGCAACCACTAACTCCTCTCGAAGTGTTTCTAGAGTCTGAGGAGGACGTTGCAAATTGAGCAATCTCCTACCCATCATATCCCACACGTGCTCAATTGGGGATAAGTCGGGAGATCTTGGTGGCCATGGTAACAATGTGACATCATTATGTTGAAAGAAGTCTATTGTGACTCTTGGAACATGTGGTCGGGCATTATCTTGTTGGAAAGTTGGATCTGCCAGGGTGTCAAGATAGGGTAAAAGATGGGGTTCTAGAACTTCGTGGATATAACGCTGCGCGTTCATGTTACCTCTGATGAAGATTAAAGGTGACCTGGAACCATAAGCTATAGCACCCCAAACCATAACTCCAACAGTGTGATGAACATGTCTTTCAACAAAAAACTGTGGATTCCTCCTTTCACCACGTCGCCTTCTAACCCTGGCACGACCATCGTGCATGCCTAAACAAAATCGAGACTCGTCACTAAAGACAATACTGTTCCATTCCTGATCCCAGAGTGACCGTTGTCTGCACCACTCAAGGCGATTACGTCGGTGTTCTCGAGTTAAAGGGAGAACCCAGTGTGGCCGGTATGAAAACAAGCCAAAACTTCTCATTCGTCGGTAAACACTTCGCATGCCAATAGGTCTTCCGTGTTCTGCAAACCATTCATTTGCAATGGACCTGGTAGTGGAGAAACGGTCCCTTAAGGCCAATAATCTTAGGCGGCGATCTTCACGGTCTGTTGTTCTACGGCGGCGTCCAGTGCCCCTTGCTCTTTGCGTACGGCCTTCTCGAAGCCATGCCTGACAACACCTAACCACAGTGTCTACACTTCTTTGCATTCTAACTGCAATTGCCCGAAAAGAAAGTCCAGCTTCCCGAAGTCCCACTATACAGCCTCTATCAAACTCACTAAGTTGACGAAATCGTACAGGTCTCCGTACTCTAGGCATCGTAACCGATCGTAAAGGATGTCAAGAACCAAAATCCGCCAACGTTGATTCTTTACTGCGGCTGAAATATTCATTTTTAGAGCGTTAGTGAATTAAAAAAAAGCAGTATAAAAACCGGAATGTCCAACTGATAAGGCTGAAAATTTGTTCACTTGTTATTTACAGTAAGATAAATACATTCACCAACTTTTATTAAAATAAAACCATTTAAACTGGGTGTTCGGATTTGTATGTCACTTAGTATATAATGACATTTCTTTCACACGTGAGTCAAGTGTCACATTTAATACCCTTATGACTGTTTGACTGTATCACTTCACTGGCAAAATCAACGCAGCAGTCACTTCAATTTTTATGAGATTCAACAACAAAATTACAGCTAGATGTAGAATATTGTATTTGATATCTATTTAGATAATTACATGGTAAGCATCAAGCAGAGTCTTAGAGGTTCAAATAAATTATATCCAGAATTGAAATTACGTATTTCATGATTCAGTATCAACTTTTAATAGAAAACAAAAAACGGTCCAAAAAACTTTTTGGCAAGAATTAGTACATGGGGCAGAACTCCCTACCAAATTATTGTTTCAAACTTCAACATTTCAAGAACTAAAAAATGAAAATAAATGAATAAACTTTGTTGTCTGTAATGCTTCAGCAATTAAATAATCTGGCTCAATAAAGATTTCTGTTTATGTGGCTACAGTTCTTTGTCGACCTGCCAGTTTTGGATAACCGTGCTTCTAAACAGTTAGTTGTTGATGTTCTTCTGAGAAACAAAAAATGCGCAGTTCATTCACAGATATAAATATCCAAATTATATTCAGGCCCTTTGGAACGAATGGAAACCCACTTACTGCAGATCCAAATTAGTATAAATTGAAAATGTGCAAATGGTACTGTGGCGTCTTGTAGAACTTCTGATTTCACAGTTTTAGTACTTGAAACCTATACATTTCCAAGCAGCGCTTTAAACGTGTTGGATGTAATTTGCTCGAACAGTTGGTAAATATATTATACAAACATGCAAGAGCAGTACAATATATGATGACTCCACACCTGAATTCAATCAAATTCTAGCTGTTCTTCATCCATTTTATCTATATTTATTAGAAATTTCCATAAAAATTAACAACTGAGGTAATGAGGGTAATTATCAAAATGACGGAAAACTGCACGACGTTGTCGATAATGACAGACGGCGCTTTCGATGAAAGACAAGTGGCACTGTCACTATTTACAGTCTGGCAGCCGTGTTTCATTGCGAAAAATTCTGTGTTGCACCTTGCCAGACATCAGTTGACCAGACATGATCATTAGTGTTGCTCTAAGCCCTTGTAATCGTTATGTGCGAAGTGGGTGGTGGAGACCGGCAAATCGATCGCAACGTACGATGTGGCAAAGATGTGAAATAACACAGTTTTTAGAGTTATGAAAATACGAGTATATAGTGTATTTACACCCAAGATAGAATGGATGCGTGATTGCCAAAATCAAGGACGGCGTACAGGGCCGCATTCAGGGCTACCTCCGAATGGTGGACTACCACCAACGTGTTGTAAAACAAAGATGACAGTATTTAACAGAAACAGAAACTTAACAAATTACTCAAATACACTTAACAACAACAACAGCAACAACCAAGCAAGGTGAATACGAAAACACGAGCACGCAGTGATACACGCGACGGACGGTGGCCTGAGTGCAACTCTGCCTGCCCTGCCCCTGCCCCGCGCATTATTCCGCCAGGCGGCCGCTTGAAATTTAATGGCGAATTGACCAATAAGAGGCGTTGTCCCCACCTGTTACCGAGAGATCACGCGCTAACTGTTATTATTTACATCTCATCTTGCATTTGGATTCAGTTTAGTAAAATGCACCCCACGCTTTTTACCCTGAATTGAATTAATCTGTTAATAACTTAAATTTTGTTATAATTTTATTTTGAGGTCAATAATGATTGTTCGACCATCTACTAGTGTAATATAAACTCTATGTAATTCAAAATTATTTTCTAATTTTCAGTTCGGTTAGCTATAAAAGCGTTTTTTTTTTAGTTTATTAAACCATTATTTATTTTTCTACTTGGATACCTCGTGCAATGAGAAGCGCAGTACACGCAATTTACATCGTGACCTGTTTCATTCCATTCAAATGGCTCGCATTTCTGCAACGTATACCCCAAAGCGCAACGTTCCATTGAGCACGGTCGCCCTTAGAAATTAGCCAGCCCACGATGTATTTCCTTGTGTGGCTGACAGCAACGAAAAACCTGACCTTCTTTCTAATGTTTTGACCTGTATACAGCTCTGGAGAGAGCTCTGCTTTTTGTGATCAACCCTATGGACGCGCGGTGGTTAGGACTGAAACGTTTGGAGGGTGTGCAATGTGTTGTATCGATTAGTTTTTTTAAGCTGCCTCGTAGTATCGTAGGCGTCGCGTCGGGTTTACAAAGGCGCATCTAAAGGTTTTCTGAGGATGAAGGATTCCTATACAAAAACTCTTGATCGGATGCATCATATTTCCGCCATAGTATAAGGCCTAACAACGTTTGAGGATACATGCATTTAATATGACTCCTGAAACATATCCTATGGTTTTCATGTCCATAGGACTCCATTGTCTGGGCGAATTAAAACCACACATATGTTTAGATTTCAGTTTATTGTAGACAGTGGTGGTCGAAATGTCGTACCATAAACTGAAATATACAGATATATGTGGTTTTGATTCGGCCAGACAATGTCCGATAGATATATTTTATAACAGATATTATTGTCTCCCAACCTAATGCCTAATATGGAACTACACTTTCAACGTAATAGATATATATATATATATATATATATATATATATATATATATATATATATAATAGATCTATTAAAAAACGTGTGCTCTCTTGAGTGACAAAAATTAGTCTACGTTATCGGCCTACCGACAAAATATAATTTAAATCAGGAACAATGGCGAGTAGACCGTATCTACTGTAGGATCAGAATCCGCGGTATCTAGCGGCTACAGCGCGACTTTCGATTCATATAACTCAAGTACCATGACTTAGGCAACCCGCACAAGTGAACATGAATTGACTGACAGCTAGTTCCAAGGACTTTTTCGATTTATCTAAGGCTTTTGATTCTCTGCAACATAATATTTTAATAAAGAATTAGCTTATCACATTCATCCTTCTAGGATCAAGATTTTAGACTCTTACTTATCCGACCGAGAACAAGTAGTACATTTCAATGTCTGTGACTCTGATACCAGATCAGTGATCCGTGGAGTTCCTCAGGGTTCTGTACAGGGACCACTGCTGTTTTTATCATACATTAATGATATCCCTAATAGTCTGTCAGATACGCACAATGCTGCTTTGTTTTAATATGCTGATGACACTACTTTGGTAAATTCTAATAAATATGTAAATACCCTTGTCGAAGCCTGCTCATTTTGTAAGTCGGACATTGAGAATTGGTTTGCTGTCAATATGTTATTGCTCAATACTGATAAAACTAAGCCTACGCAGTCATGAGTTGGAATCTGCTCAATCAGTGTAATTGATAGCAGTACATATTGACTGTACTCTGCTATGGGAGGTGCATACTCGCTGTGTGGTAGATCGTTTGTCCAGAGTTATATATCTCATACGTAGTCTAAAGGACAGAGTATCTGATAAAATCTTATTAACCGCTTATCATTCATTTTTTCACCCTAAAGTGATACATGCAATTTTGGTCTTGGGACACTATCCACATATGCAAAAAGTGTTTGGCATGCAAAGGCGTTGTATCCGATACATCTCTGGTTTGAAATACTAACCCTATATATCAAACGTAACATTCGTACCTTCCCCACTCATAGTGATGACCACAATTATGAAACACAAAATAGAAACATTCGTCATAATAACTACCGTCTAGAAAAATCAAGAGTTGGAACAAACTTTTATGGCATTACATTTTTTAATCTGCTACCCAACAATATAATATCATTGAATATTGATGTTTGCACAGCGAACTCAAGTATTATTTAATAAAAAACTCATTCTTTAGCACGGACGAATATTTGGCAAATGACTTTACTGATATACCTTGAATGTTTATTTATTTATTTCTCTATCCGACTTGTGTACATTTGTTGTTTTGTTTGTCTGTATGTGTATAGTTAATTGTATTATACATATATTTTTCTAAGCGATTTTCTTTTATCTCACGACGACATTTTGTATTGTTTTTTTTTTCTTAAATTTATTTTTAGTAATTATGCGTTACGCAGCATTGCATTGTTTTTAACTGGTTTTATTCATGTCCGATGTATTTTTTTTCTAAGCGGACTATTAGTATATATTGACTTGTGTAAACACTTTGTGTATTAAAATCAATAAACTATTATTATTATTGTTATTATAAGGTGACATTTTTTCGGAAAAATCTGCATAACGTGTTTAAAAATCGATACAATGTCACTTTTTAAATTAGGTGACACGGGTGCGTGGTACCCTTCACGTAAAAAATGTGATCGTAAACGTTGCAGTCAAATGCAAAATTTGGACAAGGTACCTCGGGGCCCACAGCCGGAAGAGGCCCCAGGGTCGTGAACAGATGATTCTAGCATTTATTATTACATTATTTAGTAAAACTATTATCATTATTATTGTATCTAATACACAGAAAGACAAGTTGTTTTGCGGAAACTAGGATGAAAAAACAAAGCACAATCGTGGGCATGTCCGCAATAGAGGAACAAGAGCAGAAATAGAAGGAATGGTAACCCGAGCGACGCACGTCTCTGCTTAATGGCTTCATCAAGCCCAAATGGATGTGCATCGGAAACATCGAAGTGAAAACTTATACCCATCAAATTTGGATACGAGTGCAACCTGAAGGAAAACAGGGATGGAAAGGGAATATAACTAGAAGCCAACATCCTCTTCATTAAACACTACACCTTCACCATGTCCACATTTCTTGTGTGTAACTCTAAAAACAAATGAGTTATGTGAGAATATGGATGCATGTTTTACATCGGATTATGGAGGTACTGGGGCCCCTTTGAGCACTTTTAAAGTTAGAAAAAATTGAATTTCTAACAGAAGCTAAATTAGTGCATTTGGTTTTACGTTTCTAGCTCAGTCCTCATGCGTTATTAATATCTCAATTTTGTGCTAACATAAGTTAAACGAAGCCAAATGATACGATGGACATTTACTCCTTTTAAATCTCAAAACGTGGATGTGATGACTAGATTTATGAAAAACCGGCAATCACCCATTTGTATCTACATAGAATAGACGTCTGGATAGTCGAATGACATAATTTTCAGCTTTTATTCTTCTGTACTCATTCATTACAGTACACTATAAATTTAGCATCATTACACTAATAGCATACGCTATACATTTTGCATTTAAATTGGACGGTCCATTTTCAGCTAGACTTTGATGGCTGAACAGATTTTAACCGACGAGTCTGAACCTAATCGAAACCTTATTAAAATATTCCAAGCTGTATGTATCACTTGCGGAATTTGCATTCGTTAAGATAATATGAGTTTCTAAGATGTGAGATCGAATAACGACCAACTGGTTATTAACCAAAAAATATCGTGAGCGTCTACTGACAGTACGACACTAAAGCTGCTGAACAATGTTTGACAGATGGGGTTAGTTAGTGCATTCCGCTGCAACTGGATTACACAGCGAATAGGCACTATAGGGATGGCTGGTCAAATAATACATTTTTTTACGGAATAGCAATATCTTAATTATTTTACATTTTTTTCCCGTTGTGAAACAGAGGTTACAAAATCGTGCATAGATCAAAATAAGCCTGCCTTCTTTGGAGAAAAAGTCAATGATTCTTCTTAGATTTAAAGATGACAGCTATGTGAACTGTATATGACGTGGTTTCATGCTGAAAGTAGCGTCTAGATTTCCCGGAACATCTAAAAGGCACGTCGTGACAATAGTGGCGTACCATGTTTGCTAATCTCTTCCAGAATATGAATACAGACTAAATTATATCTGTAGCTAGCAAGTAGGTTTTGTATAGTACCTTACCTACAACTCCCTACAAACAGCAATTCAGAATTAGTATATTTTTCAAACCCCTTTTCACGAGTAACTACTCAGGCTGGGCAACAAAGCAACTTTTCTAAAAGTAATATGTTTCTTTTGGGCAAACTGTCGACTACACCTTGTCTGATAGACGAAGTGCCTTAGTGCAAAGTACACCACTTGTGTTCAAGAGAAGTGCTATAA